GCCCCCTTTTCTTTCAGGACCAAATACAGCACCTCACCCCACACACAGACGCCGTGCAAAGCACTCTGTTCCCACCATCCACATGCTGGTCCCTGTTGGCCATTTTGTACACAAGTCCAGACACCCCAAATCCTATAGAGGTATTTTCCCAAACATATTCCTTTCTTTTGCCATTCTGGTGAGAGCTACCGGAAGAATTAAAATGTCATGTCTTGGCTTTTTTTTTCTTTTTACAAAAAAGACAGGGAAAACATATTCCATGTAAAATACGAGAAAATGAAACCCAATATAAATGTCTAACAATGACAAATACGCTTCAGATTTTCCATGGGCAACTATGCCACCATTTTAAATGACAGTATAACCATATTAAAGACAAAGGGCAAAGTCCCTTAATATGAAAAGTGCTTTTACAACTCAACAGGAAAAAGACCAAAAGCCAATGAAAAAGTGGACAAAGGCTATGAACTGGCAGTTTATGGAAAAGGAGCTATAGGTGACTCAAATATTTGAAAAGATGTTCAAACTCATTCATAATAAGAGACATAGTCTGGGCGCGATGGTTCACACTTGTAATCCAGCACTTTGTGAGGCCAAGACCAGTGAATTGCATCCCCTGAGGTCCGGGGTTTGAGACCAGCCCTACTGACCTGAAGAAACCCCATCTTTACTAAAAATACAAAATTAGCCTGGCGTGGTAGCGCATGCCTATAATCCCAGCTACTCCGGAGGCTGAGGCAGGAGAATCACTTGAACTCGGGAGGCAGAGGTTACAGTGAGCTGAGACCATGCCATTGCATTCCAGCCTGGGCAACAAAGTGAGACTCCATCTCAAAAAATTTAAAAAAATAAAAAAAGAGAGAGAGAGACATAAAAAAGACACCATTGTTTTTCTCCCAGATTTGCAAATATGGAAATTTGACCCCTCCCCACTCCAGCTGGTGGCAGCAAAAATTAGTTTAACACTTAAGGCGGGGAGCGGGAGGTGGGGGTGGTAATTTGCCATATTTATCAAAATTCAAACTGCATATTCCCCTTGACCTTGCAAATCCACTCCTGATTTTCTTAAAGATTCACTCCCACATGTGAAAAATGATGCTTGACCAAGGATATTCATTACAGCATATTGAAATAGCAAAAGACAGGAAATAACCTTAATGTTCTACAACTGTTAGATCAATTACAGAGAAGCCATATGGTGAAATACTATGCAGCTGTTAAAGAGAAAGGGGAAAAAGGGCAGATTTTAAAATGTTGATGTAGAAAGATTTCCAAATTGCATTCAGTTAAAAAAAAAAAAAACCAAGATAGAGAACACTACATATAGTATATTGCCAATTGTGAGAAGGGAAAAAGACATGTGTGTGTGTGTGTGTGTGTGTGTGTGTGTCTGTGTGTGTGTATATATATATATATATATCCATGTTTGTAAAAACCCACTTAGCCTATCTTTGGAAGGAGACACGAGCACCTGATAACATTGGGTGTCTTTGGGGAGAGCAGTTGAGTGGCTAGGGGACAGGAGCTGGAAGGAGGCTTATTTTTTATTATATATCTTTCCATATGTTTTACATTTTTTAAAAACTATATAAATGTATTAGATATGAAATAATTTAAAACATGATATCATAAGATTTAATTTTCCTTTAACACATAATTCCATATCATTTGTTTTTTAAAGTGAGATACCATTTTTATGTATAAGTCTATTAAAAATAAAAATATATGGGCTGGGCATGGTGGCTCACGCCTGTAATCTTAACATTTTGGGAGATCGAGGTGGGTGGATCACCTGAGGTCAGGAGTTCAAGACCAGCCTGGCCAACATGGTGAAACCCTGTCTCTACTAAAAGTACAAAAATTAGCTGGGTGTGGTGGCATGTGCCTGTAATCTCATCTACTCAGGAGGCTAAGAAAGGAGAATCACTTGAACCCTGGAGCAGAGGTTGCAGTGAGCCGAGATCAAGCCACTGCACCACAGCCTGGGCAACAGAGTGAGAGTCCCTCTCACTGAAAAAAGAGGTCAGCAGCACTTCCGGCTTGCATCCTTAGATTGCCTCCAAAGTTCTGCAGTGTTTGCACTTGCATTAGTTTGCCTGATCCTTACTCCAATTTTGTTTTGTATGGAAAACAGAGTGGAGATGCTGGGATGGTGTATTCATTTCCTAGTGTTGTCATGGTACTGCTGTATCTGCTGTCACAAAGTGCCACAAGCTGCGTACATTAAAACGATAGATCTGTATTCTCTTGCAGTTCCGGAGGTCGGAGTCTGAGATCAAGGTGTGGTCAGGGCCAGTCTCCCTCTGAAGGCTGGAAGAGAGGATTCTTCCTTGCCTCTCCTGGCTTCTGCTGGCTGCAGGCAATTCTAGGTGTTCTTTGGCTCCTACATGCATTACTGCACTCTTCCTTTGCAGTCCATGACTGTCTTCTCCCTGTGGGTCTCTGTCTTCATGCGCCCATCTCCTTTCTTATAAGGACACCAGTCCTATTGGATTCAGGGCCCATCCTACTCCAGTATGACTTCATCTTCACCAGTTATATCTTCAACAGCCTTATTTCCAAATAAGGTCACATTAGGAGGCTCTGGGGGTTAGGCCTTCAACATATGTTTTGTGGGGAGGCACAATTCGACTCATAACAAATGTGAAAAGACATGCTAAGAAGTTATGACTGGGTGTGGTGGCTCACACCCATAATCCAACACTTTGGGAGGCTGGGGCAGACTAATCACTGAGGTCAGTAGTTCGAGACCTCATCTCTATTTGTTTTTTTTAAAGGATGCTGGGCAAAGTGGCTCATGCCTGTAATCCTAGCAATTTGGGAGGCTGAGGCGGGCAGATCATTTGAGTTTGGGAGCTCGAGACCAGCCTGGCCAACATAGTGAAACCCCGTCTCTACTAAAAATACAAAAATTAGCTGGGTGTGGTGGCAGGCACCTGTAATTCCAGCTACTCGGGAGACTGAGGCAGGAGAATCGCTTGAACCCAGGAGGTGGAGGTTGCAGTGAGCTGAGATCGCACCACTGAACTCCAGGCTGGGCAACAGATTGAGACTCTGTCTCAAAAAATAATAATAAAAGAATAAAGAACAACAACATCAGCACAAGAAGTTTTGCTGAATTTTCCTCAGAGGGAAAGAGGGTATAGGTGTTGGGGTCTGAGGAGGCTGACCCAGCCCTGCAGACACCAGGACAGCTCTTATCTGATTCAGGAATAAAGCACAAACCTCAGAATATTGTGAAACTCTTCCAAGAACTTTCCCCTCTGTTTGTCTGTGTTCGTTAAGGATCCACCACCCCTCACACTTGCACAGCCCTTTAAGGTTCATCGAGGCACTGGGTGGGCAGGCGTTATCTCATTCAATCCATGAAACACACTTTGTAGGATAAATCTGCATATGTTCATTTTACAGATGAAAAGCCAAGGTTTCGAGAAATGGAATGGTTAGTTCATGGTCATCCAGCAAATACCAGGTGCTGAGAGCCCAGTCTGTCTGCCTTTCACGCCAGGTGCAGGTCCACCTGGCACTGTGCTTCTGGAGACAAAGCAGGTGGGCATCATAGATGGCCATTCTGGGCTATGGGTCAGTAAAGTTTGCAGAAAGCACACTCGAAGGGAGTTCAGATACATCTGAAAAGCCCATTGCTTTTCAAGGTTTTCTCTCTTAGAGAAAAGGAAAGTGATTTGGAGGGACCACGAGGCTCCAGGAGCTGGCCCCAGGTCCTCCCTGCCTCCTACCACTCCTGTGTTTTAGAGGTTGGAAACCGCAAGTTTTCAAACTGCTTTTTATGTCTGTAGAAACTTCAACCTTTTAAAAAAGGAAATATAAGAACCTCAACTTATAAAATGGATGCAATTGCCACTGAAGGTAGGAGCCTCTCCCGATCCTCCCCGAATGACCACCCCAGCCAACTCCAGGTCGTGGCTCTCTGGGTGAGAAAAGAAACTGAAAACCACATGGGAATACAAAAAGCAAGGAACGAAACGACACCCACGTATTCACCTATTACTTATGAGGTTAAATGTTCCTTAGAAATGATCTGGAGATTTGACAATAAGGAATAACTATTTAAATGTTTGTAGTATGCTGATGGTATTGTCGTTTTGTTTTTAAAAGATGTCTTACTGCCATTGGGTTGGGGTCTCCACGGCCGAGCTGGTCTCAACAGTCATCTTTTAGTACATTCTGAAATACCTCAGCGGAGATGCTATGCTCTCTGCCATTTGTTTCAAAATAACCAGTGGTGGAGACTGGGGTGGTGACTGTCCAAGCTGAGCGTGCCTATGTGGGGCTTCATTATACGAAAACCCACAGGTGCACAAGGCTCAACCTAATTCTGTTCCTTCTACTTTTGGATATGTTTGGAATTTTCCAAATAAAAAGTTCTTCAGGCTAAAAAGTCTGAATTGCGTATAATGGACAATGTGACTTCTGTAATTCTTTAAAAATCAATGAAAATTTGCAAAGAAAAAGGCACAGAGAGGGGTGGCTCCGGCAGGTGATAGGACCTGCGCGGGGAGGGGAGCACAGCCGCTGACCGCGTCCTCCCATCCAGGCGACCCCCATCTGCCATCCTCTGAGGACCACCAACTCTTCCTCCAAACTCCCTGGGCCGAAGGCTGCGCACGCTCCCCTGCCACTGGCGCCCCGTCCGCTCAGCGGGCCATCCGTCGGCCACCCACCCGGCCACAGGCACTTTCCGCTCCAGGGCCTCTGGCATCCCCTCCACACTTCTCCGTGCAGAATTCGAAACCCGAACCGCCTCCTTCCTCTCGCCCCAGGTCGGGTCCCGCGGTCCCGCAGTGCGCGGGGCACTCACCCTCAGCGCTCCCGGTTCCGTTGCGATCTGTGCGAAACTGAAAGTAGAAGCCGCCGAAAGCTGCCCGGCCTGTGCTTGGAACTAGCTACGGCTGCTGAGAAATCACGTGGATTCGAAGTGCCAGCCCGAACCAGATGGGCCTGTGGGCGCGGGAGGGCGGGGGCCTAACACACACGCTCCCCGCTGCGCCCACACCCTGGGACCTCCCCGAAGTCCCGCATCGGACCCCAGGGCAGTCCCAGGAGAGTTGGGGGCGCTCGCCCCTTTCGTGGACAGGAAATTGAGGCAGGCGAGTGAAGGTGGGCTCATGTGCGGAGCGCGGGTTGGTGGGGACCCTGGACTGAGACCCTGTCTCAGTGTCTCAGTGGAGACTGGGTTGGATGGGAGGGGGATGCGGTGCAGGAGGAGGGGACTTAGAACCAGGGCCAGAGCGGAGAGCGCTCCAGGATGAACCAGGAGAAGGGAATGACAGCAGCGTTCGTTTCCATTAGCAGAGCCCTTGGCAGGCTGACCCGGGAAAGGCAGTCTACCAGTTTATCTCATTAAGTAACCCTAAAATACTCATGCAGGTATCGCCCTGTTTTCCAAGTGAGCAACTGAGGCTCAGGGAGGACAGAGGTGAAGGAACTTGCCCCAGTCACGGGAGGAATCACAGGCAGAAGAGGGCGATAGAAGGAGGGAGGTGGGAGAGGAGGGACTGGTGGGGGCAGAAGGAAGGGGAGGTCGCTCTCCCAGGATGGGGTCAGGGCCGTCCTGAAAGTCCAGCTTCAGCTTCTCCATGTTTTTTGCCCACAGCCTGGGACAGGGAGCTCCCCTCGCTGGTTGTATTCATCCTGTGGGCAGCAGTGCCTGCTAGGAAGGCCTTCCACCCACCTCCCAGTGACATCCCACAGAGAAGCAGCTTTCACTCCCAGACCACTGGTGCTTCCCTGCCTGGGGTGGTGTGGGTGTGAGGATGCTGCAAGGTAGTGGTCAGGAGACAAGCATCAGCATCAGACATCCTGGGTTCAAGTCCTACCCTCCACCGTACCGTGTTAGATAGATGACTTCTCCATTCATCCTGGAGTGTGCTTCTGGGCCAGGAGTGGAGACTCTGCTTTTTTGTTTGTTTGTTTTTTGTTTTTTTGAGATGGAGTTTCACTCTTTTTTGCCCAGGCTGGAGTGTAGTGGTGCGATCTCAGCTCGCTTCTGGTTTCAAGCGATTTTCCTGTTCAGCCTCCCAAGTAGCTGGGATTACAGGCACCTGCCACCACTCCTGGCTAATTTTGTATTTTTAGTGGAGGCAGGGTTTCACCATGTTGGCCAGGTGGTCTCCAACTCCTGATCTCGTGATCCACTTGTCTCCGCCTTCCAAAGTGCTGGGATTACAGGTGTGAGTCACTGCACCTGGTGGGATTCTCGGGTTCTAAGTTCCCTCCTGCACAGCATCCCCCATCCCCTCCAACCCAGTCTCCACTTGGGGAAGTCAGCCCGCAGTCCCCGCCTACCTGAGCTGGGCAGGTGAGCTCACCTTCACTGCCTACCTCGGTTTCCCGTCCACAAAAGGGGCAAGAGCCCTAGTGTCTCCTGAGATTGCCCCTGGGTCTCTGTGCAAGGGCTGAGGGAGGCACCAGGATTCGGGCTCTACTGGGAGAGGATGTGCCAGGCCCCCACCCATCCTGCACCCACATCCCCATCTGGGTCCAGGCTGGCACCCCAGTTTTGCCAAGATGGGGATGGTGTGAATACTAACTCCACGTAGAGTGGCTGTGATCATTTGATGACTTAACGTTGAGGCTGATGCAATCTGTACCTGGAGCCCATAAGCTGCCCTTATATTTTTGTCCCCTTCTACAGGCCCTACATCCTCATGAGACTTAAACTGCCTTCCTTCTAGGACCGACTCAGGTATCTACAAATTGCATGACAGCCCGGAGTGAGAAGGGCACGGACTGCAGTGATTGCTTCTGTGTGACTCCCAGCTTCACCACTCCTGGTTGTGTAACCTCAGACAAATGCCTTGACCTCCCCTGGCCTCAGCTTCCTCATCTGTCAAGCAGGGTGTTCCCAGCCTCCCCAGGCCACTGGTGGGTGTGGTGGGAATGGGTGAGGTTGTGGGCGAGAGCTGTATGCCTGGGGGGGGGGTTGATTATGTTCCAGTATCAGGACTCAGCTCATGTTCACTGAGCACCAATGAAATGATTGGTCCTACCCGAAGTCCCAGGAAAGACACTGGCCTGCTCCTTGTGCAGGGTGGGGAGGACAGATGGACACACGGACAAATAATCCAAGACACAAATGCAGATCATTTTCACATGCATTTCATTCTGAACACCCCTGTGAGGAGGGCAGGACAAAGATTATTATCCCATTAGGCAGATGAAGAAGCTGAGGTCCAGATAGATCATGTCAGTTGCTGAAGGTCACACAGCAATCGGGGGAGAGCTGGAGCCCTTTTCACTCTGGGGGTACCAGTCCTGCTGGAAAGTTTATTGCCAAAGAATTCTGGAAGGGCAACCTCCCCAAACTTTCCCTGTCCTCAGACTGGATTGTGGCCTGAGAGTCCGCTATTAGCACCTCATGCCTTTGGCTAAAAATGTGCCAGCCCCTCCAGTGTTAATCAAATGGCTGTCAGTCATTTACACTTGAGTGTGAAGAAGTGAATCAAATTTTTTGGGTTGGAGATGAGAAGGAATTTGAGTGTTTGGACTTTTGGATGGGAAACTGGAGATGTGAGAGGAATGGTTGACACGAGATAACTCAAGAGGTGGGTGGGGAGGGAGTTAACTGGAGGATGAAGCGAGCCCACATGAGCAGGCCTCCCCTGTGTACCTCACCTCCATTAAGCATAACCAATATCTGGCACTTGCTGAGCACTCAGGATGTACCAGGCACTGTGCTCTTTTTTTTTTTTTTTTTTTTTTTAGACAGAGTCTCACTCTGTTGCCCAGGCTGGAGTGCAGTGGTGCGATCTCAGCTCACTGTTAACCTCTGCCTCTTGGGTTCAAGCAATTCTCCTGCCTCAGCCTCCCAAGTAGCTGGGGCTATAGGTGCATGCCACACACCTGGCTAATTTTTTTTTAATTTTATTTTAGTAGAAACGGGTTTTTACCATGTTACCAGGCTGGTCTCAAACTCCTGAGCTCAGGAAGTCCACCCGCCTCAGACTCCAAAAGTGCTAGGATTACAGGCGTCAGCCACCGTGCCCGTTTGCTCTCTCCTTTAATCTTTTTGTTTGTTTATTTTTGAGACAAAGTCTCACTGTCACCTAGGCTGGAGTGCAGTGGCACAATATCAGCTCACTGCAACCTCCACTTCCCAGGTTCAAGCAATTCTCCCACCTCAGCCTCCAGCGTAGCTGGGACTACAGGTGTCCACCACCATGTTTAGCTAATTTTTTTGTATTTTTAGTAGAGACAGGGTCTCACCATGTTGGCCAGGCTGGTCTTGAACTCCTGAGATCCCCCTGCCTCAGCCTCCCAAAGTGCTGGGATTACAGGCGTGAGCCACCGTGCTCAGCCTCTCCTTTGATCTTTACAGCAACTGTTATCTTTCTTTTTACAGGTGAGAAAAGGGAGGCACAGAGAGGCTAAATAACAGGCCTGAGCTCACACAGAGGTGGAGGAGCTGAGCTGTGGACCCAGGCAGGCCATCTCTGCAGCCTCCGCTCTTGACCACCATGGGCTCCTCCTCTGGGCTAACCCAGCCCTTGCCAGGATCCTACATGGAAAGTATTATCATACCATTGAACAAAAGAGGATATGGAGGCATGGAGGGCAGAGGGGCCCCAGGATGGCAGAATTAGTAACTGGGGTGAGAGGGAGCTGGGATTAGACCCAGGTCTGAAAGCCAGGCCTTCCCCTCACCCTTCCTGTTTACCAAACACCTGGGCCCCATCCTGCCCAAGGTCAGGATGTGCTTCTGCCTGGTGCTGGCCTTGGGGAGCACCTGTTTTTTCCTGGAGGAAGGAGCAGGTGTGGACTTCTTTTTGAAACTGACCCTGACTGGGTTGGAGCCAGGACCGCTGCCCTCTGTCAATCCTGCATCGAGGCCAGGAGGACTTAAGTAGGATTAGGTCAGACCTAGGCTTGCATGGAGGGGCTTGGAGGTCAGCCCCATTTTTGTAAGCCTCTCGCCCTCTGGACTCCATAATTCCTGCTAATTGCACTCCTTGGATGGGGCAGTGACATGGAAGTACCTCCCAGCTCAGTCTTGGGGAGACCTCTCCAAGGACAATGAGGGAAGCTGGGGGGATGTCCCTACCCTCCTTTCTGGAGCAGAGCCCTGGGTTTACAGGGGTAAGACTCAAAGTGACTTCTCTGTCTGCCCCTCGTGCTAATAAAAGTTTCCATTCAAGAAAGAGCTGCCTGGGGATGCCAAGTTATCTGGAATCTGTCATTGTAGCATCAAGGGGTGTTGGCAGCTGGGGAGGGGGGCTTGGGCCTTCCCACCCCCTTTGAGAGATCATTCTTGGATGGGATGTGGCTTCTAACTGGTGTCACCACCTGAAAGGCCAATATCCCATCACCTAGAATTTCCACGTTGGACTCGGGGATTGGAGAGACCACCTTGACTCCTGCCAAGGCCCTTTGAGAGCTGCCCACCCCATCCTTTAGTGCGCCTGCTCAGTAAACCCCAGGGTGGGGCCAGGGGTTGGGGAAAAGCGGGCCTCAGAAAGCCCTTGGAGGGGCAGGGAAGGGCTTGGAAGAAACGTGACTCAGAATATGGGGCCCTCCCCTCACATCTTCCCAGACTTGAAGGGGCGTCTTACTTCTGAGCTCCCTGCAGCCCCAGCCTCCTGGCCATCTCTCCTGGCTGCTGAAATAAAGGCCGGGCCCTTTTGCCACCTTGTGATGTGACCCTGCCTGTTGGTTGGGCCTCATCTCTCACCCCTAGTTCTTTGCTTTCATTGCCACACCAGCCCTTTTGACTGTTCTTGAGTTCATCATGATTCTTTGTACCCCAGGGACCTTGCATGAGCCAGTGTCTTGCTGCGCTTCCTCCCATCTCACTTGGCTAATGTGAGGCATTTTCTTTACACACCTGGAAAAAATAGAGCCTGGTGCCTTCCAAGACTGGGATGGTTGGAGGAAACTTTTTGTGTTGTAGCCTGAGGGTAGGAAGAAGACACAATTTAAATATAAGAAGGTGAGGTGGAGGCTAGGCGCGATGGCTCACACCTGTAATCCCAGTACTTTGGGAGGCTGAGGCGGGTGGATCACTGGAGGTCAGGAGTTCAAGACCAGCCTGGCCAACATGGTGAAACCTATCTCTACTAAACATACAAATATTAGCTGGGAGTAGTGGCAGGTGCCTGTAGTCGCAGCTCGTTGAGGGGCAGAGGCAGGAGAATTGCTTGAACCCGGGAGTTGGAGGTTGCAGTGAGCCAGGATTGCACCACTGCACTCCAGCCTGGGCACCAGAGTGAGATTCTGTCAAAGAAGAAGAAGAAGAGCTAGAAATAGGCTCATGAGAGGTTTCTCTTCTGGAATAAAGTGTTTGCCTTTTTAGAGGCTCTATCTTCCTCTCTTTCTACCAGAAACTAGACCTCTGAGGGCCCCTTCCCCTCCCGCTATCCTCGGATCTGAAGCCCTCGTTCCCCCTCACTTCCTGTCCAGCACTGAAACCCCATGGGACAGAGAGTGTGTGACAGCTCATGCAGGAAGCTGGTCAGATGAGAAGAGTGCTGGGCTAAAGGGGCTAATTTGGAAGGTATCCAGAGACCTATCAGGGAGCACCCTGAGCCCCAAGTAGAGAGGTTTGAATTTCTTCCTCCAGGCACTGTGGAGCTTGGAGGGTTTGGGGGCAGCTGCCTTGGAAGGGCTGAAAGGAGGTGGATGGCGCTGGTGAGACACATCTCTTCCCCCTCCCTCTACCCCCCAGCCACAGAAGAAGGATTCTCCAGCTCTTGGATACAGCATTTTAATGCCAGTGGGCCTTTAGGACAGGGAGGGGGTGGGAGCCAATCTCTATCTCCGTGCTCCCACCCTGACCCACCGTGATGGAGGAGACACCAGGGCTCCAGCTGTGAGCCTGGCGGCCTTCTGGTTCAAGCCTCACCCCCACCTCCTTGGAACTTCTAGCTCAAGCTCTGGAGGAAATCCACCAGCAGGTGCTCAGGGAAGCCGAAATCCATCTGCAGCAGCAGGAAGCCCTAGAGGGAGAGGCCAGAGGAGAGAGGGGCAGGCTGGACTGACTCCCAGGCTGCCAGGAGGGAGCCAAGCTGATGGGGGCCCCTCTGCCTGTCTCCCCAGTAGGCCCCAGTCACCCCGGAAATCCTGTCTGGGCCTCCCTCCCCAGGAGACAGGTGCTGGTGAGGGGGGCTTTGTACTCACATCCTGAGGGGTAATCTCAGGGTCGATGATGTCGAAGAGGCTCAGGCCTTTGCTGTTCATGAAGGCTGTGAACACTGCCTCGAGCCCTGGAACAGGGGACAGAGCCCCCCAGTCAGCCCTTCTTGGGGAGCAGGGCAGGCCTGAGGCTCTGCCACCCTGGGCAGTAGCAGATGCTGAGACCTCTCTGGACCTACATTCTGTGAACAGTTTTTTTCACTTTGATTTAGAAGAGTGGGCCAGTGCTTCTGAGGATGGGGAAGAGCAGTTTGCCTGCTGGTAGCACTTTCCACTCTGCTGCCCAAAGAAACTCCACTCTGTCCCAAACTTGAGCTCCCAACCCACCCACAATGGCCACATGACCTGCAGTTAGTTGAATCTACCTTGCTAGGAAGGAACCTTCCCCACACAGCTTCTCAAAGCATTCTTTGCAAGCACACAGAGTGGCCTCCTTGCAAGTAGTTGTAGGAATGGCTTAATCTGCTCCCCTCTAGTTTTAGCTCCATGGTTCAGATGGCGAAAATGAGGCCAAGAGATGATAAGACACCCTGCCAGGATAATTCCATTTCCACGCCCTTCTTCCTACCTAAGCCACGTGGACAAGCAGATATTCTAAAGGAAGGCTCAGTCAGCTAACATACTCTGTGGGGAAGGCGGCAGAAAGCTCTCAGCAGAGCCTCGTCCACGTGTCCACACCCCCAGCACACGTGTGCCATGATGTCTGAGAGTCTACCACTTGAGTCACCTCAAAGGGACAAATATTCTACCATTTCAAGGTCAAAAGGAAAATTGGGAACCATCAAGTTCAACACTCTTGTTTTATAGAAAGGGAAACTGAGGTTCAGGGCTAGGCTAGAACTAGGTCTCGGCCTCCCAGTCCAGGGCTCTTTCTGCTATAACAGGTTGCTATTAGGAAACCTGTGTCCTCCTGAAAGTGGGTTGAGCCAACCCGTGGGGTGGCAGAGACAATATTCTGCAGGTAAACCAGAAACGTGGCTCTGTGCATCTGGTTGAGTCATTGGCATGCAATGCTACCAGCAGGGAGAGGGAAGGGGGCCCAGACTGCTAAGTGTCAATGACTGGGAACAGGGGCACGTGAAGCTTTTCCTTGTAGGGAAGGGCCTACAAGGTGAATGGGAAGCTCGGTCAGGCTTGGCACCCCCATTTCCCCTCCAGCCCACACTTACGAGACATGACCTCAGGGATGCCCACAGTGTCGATCATTGACTGCAGGAAGGTCTGGATGGACTCGGAGCTGCTCTGCCGATCAGAGGCCTATGGTGAGTGCTCCCTGGAGCACTGAAGTGACCCACAGGGCAGATGCCACACAGCCTGGGCAAAGCATTCATGCCCATCTGTGAAAAAATACGTCCAAACCACTCCCTCCTCTTGCCCTAGACGGTGCCTCTCCTAAGTGGTCCCTCCTTCACTCTGGGGAGGGCCAGGATTGCTGGCCCATTCCACAGAGGGAAAACTGAGATCCAGGGAGGGGCTGTTTGGCCAGTACTCTTCTGCCCAAAGCCCAGTCCATACCAACACGCTCTCATTTTTGCAACACAAGGGCTCTCCCAACGGACATGGCAGGGAGAAGAAGGGTCACAAGAGACACAGAATGGACCACTTGGTCCAGAGTATTTTGATCTGGTTGCCTGGTTTCCTTTAGGGCCCTCTGCCTGCTTTCTTTAAGGCAGGCGGTCCTACAGGACTTATTTCTCCCAGTCTATCCAAGGCCACCTACCTCAGTCAAATTGGAAACAGTCTTTGGTGTAATCCTGAAATTAAAAAGAGATGAGAATTTGACCCTCTGTCAGGCCCCCTCCTGTAACATCCACTGGAAAAGAAACTCCAGGAATGATAGCCAGGGCGCCTGTCTTGTTGCTCAGGCTGTTTTGGGGACTCTCTTGAGATTTGCTGTTCCAGCTGCCAGGCCTTGGCTCAGGCAGTGCTCTCCTCCTGCTGGGCCCTCCCTCCATTCTTCCTTGTGCCCTGCCTTCTTCCAGACGAAGACTCCCTCTAGGTGAGGGTCTTATCTCCCTGCAGCCAGGCCATATGCCCCAGAGGGAAGGAGCCCTATTTCCCCACCAACACACATCCTGTGCCTGACTCCAAGGGGCCAGTGAGAGGTTTTCAGAGTTGACTGCCCCCTCTTCTCTGCAGCACATACTGGAAATCCAAGAGGCTTAAGAAGAGCTTTTTCTTGGAATAGGAGGCCTGGACGGTAGTTATGATATCCTGGGGAGAGAAACCAAATTTGCTGTGAGCCGGGATTTTCACTGAAGCAGACAGAGAACAACCCTCCTAGCCCAGGGCGCCTGAGTCTTTCCATTGAGGGACCATGGGAACCAGGCTTAGCGATTGCTCTTCTGAGGAGAGTTCCCCAGAACCTGTGGTTTTGGAGTTAGGACCTAAAATGTCACATGGGCACTTTCTGTTTTCTATTTTTTTTTTTTTTTTTTTTTTGAGATGGAGTCTCACTCTGCTGACCAGGCTGAAGTGCAGTGGCACAATCTCAGCTCGCTGCAACCTCTACCTCCTAGGTTCAGGTGATTCTCCTGCCTCAGCCTCCCAAGTAGTTGGGATTACAGGCCTGTGCCACCATGCCTGGCTAATTTTTATATTTTTAGTAGAAATAAGGTTTCACCACGTTGGCCAGGATGGTCTCGATCTCTTGACCTCGTGATCCACTCACCTCAGCCTCCCAAAGTGCTGGGATTACAGGTGTGAGCCACCAAATCCAGCCTTCCAGCCCTATTTTTAGTTTTTTGAGAAACCTAAAAAAGGTCTTGAACTCCTGACCTCAAGTGATCCACCCGCCTTAGCCTCCCAAAGTGTTGGGATTACAGGCCTGAGCCACCGCGCCTGGCCCATGCCACTTTCTCTCCTGGTTTCTGACTTATCCACATCCCCAGTGGTTTCTTCCTGTTTGGTTAGAAACAAGCATGGACCTGGGCTTTCCTGCGTAGCACTCCCTCCACCTCCCAAGTAAAACCATCACCAAAGCGAGGTGGTGGAGGAAGTGTGGTCCCTCAAACAGCAGCCTTCGCACCACGCAGAAGGGAATGTGTGGTAAAGGCAGATTCTCAGGCCCCACCCCAGACCCACCAAACCAGAAACCCGGGGGGTGGCTCCAGAAGTCTGGGCAGTAACCCCACTCCAAGTGATTCCGATGCCTGTCAAAGTTTGAGGCCCATGACACTAGGTCACTTTCAAATAGATGCTGGATTTTGAGTTATAAGTTGTATAAGCACCTCTGCTGACCACCTATTTTTATTTGATAGCACTGGGCACAATTAGTGGTTATATAGCCTTTTGTTTATCTAGTTATTTTTTCTTTCTTCCCACTAGACCGTAAGCTTCATGAGATCAGAAACCATATGGTCCTGGCCCACAGTAAGACCTCAACAGTTATTGTTGAAAATGAATGAATGAATGAATGAATGAATGAATGAGTGAGTGAATGTGCTGGGGGTGCAGAACTATTGGTTCTGGTCGGAATGTGATGTGTGGCCTTGAACAAGTGTCCCATTGATTCTTCCCTCTCTGCAGCGAAGGGGTGGGTGCAGCTGAGGCTCTGAAGGCTGTTCCTGCTTTCTGCCACTTTAGCCAGGGCTCAGTTGAAGCCTCCTCAATCCCACAGTCCTGCACCAGCACCAAGTTTGTCATCTCCTCCCTCCCCTAATCCCAAAGCCTCTGTGGCCTTTACTTCCTCCTTCTGGTCTTTAAGCCTCCATGAGATGGTCTCAATGTACCTTCCGGCCTTCACCTCAAACAACCCTTGTTCCTGACCACACTGTGATTCCCCTCCCCAGGCCCTATTGGTGTTCTTCGCTGGGCCAGGGCACCTTCCCATGGCTCTCTCCCTGCCCTTGAGATCCAATGCTTCCCTTCTGGGAGCACTCCCTTCAGCTCCAACACACACACGCCCTGGTTAATACAGATTTCTAAAAATCCTTTCTGTACACAGCCAAACTCAAAAGCAGGGGAGGTCTTCAGGAGGCAGGAACAAGGGCAGACTCCTAGGAAAGTTGGGGGAGAGGGAATGCAGTGCTTTGGAATGAAACAGGACATTCCAGGAAGGGGGGGACCAGTGCAGGGGAATGCAGGGCTAACAGGTGTTTGTTACAGCGGTGAAGAGTCTAACTTTAGCCGGGCCCCTGAACCTCTTCCCAGGACCATCTGTCTGCTTCTTATAAAATCCTGTTTTAGCAAAAGAACCCCCTATTCTCCATATGTGATCACCCTTCAAATCTGATCAGATTCCTCCACCTCCACCTCCCCCAAGATGTTGTCTGATGACCCTGTCTTCAGCTAGAATCCTGTTAGGTTGGTTTTAGGCAGAATCCCCTTTAGCTCTGATGTTTTCTCTTGGTAATTTTCCATCTCTGACTTCATCCTGCTCCTTGGCTACAAATTCTCCCTTGCCCATGTTTGAAGTTGAGGCCAAGTTCTCCCACTACTGTAGGACCCGACTGCAGTGTTTCCTATACCTGTCACGAGGGTCCCAAACAGTCTTCTTTACCATGCTTTAGCAGCGTCATTGAGTCATTTTTTCGTTAACAAATGCTCAACGTTTCAGATTCTTAACAAAAAAAAATAAGTAAATAAACATCCGCATAAGAAAGCCTAAAGGAATAAAACAGAAAAACAAAAAGGAAAATAATACAAAAATTAAACAGAGATTTGAAAGGCTAAATAAACTGGGCACAGTGGCTCATGCCTGTAATCCCAGCACTTTGGGAGGCCAAGGTGGGCAGATCACTTGAGCCCAGGGATTCGAGACCAGCCTGGACAACATGGCAACACCCTATCTCTATGTGGTGGTGCCCATCTCTAGTTGGGAAGCTGAGGTGGGAGGATCACCTTAGCTAGGGAGATCAAGGCTACCGTGAGCAGTGATTGCACAACTGCACCACAGCCTGGGCGGAAACAAACAAAGAGCAGCTGAATATTATCTTCTATCCTGGATCAGATCTTGGAAAAGAAAAAGATACCAGTGGAAAAACTGGGAGATTCAAATGAAGTTTAGAATTGGTAAACAGTCGTGCACCAATATTAATCTCTCTGCCATGACAGTGTCATAAGATGTCAGCAAAGCGGGAAGCCGCTGGTGGGGGGATACAGGAACTCTCTGTACTTTGCAACCTTTATTCAAATCTAAAGTTACTCCAAGATAAAAAGTTTATTTAAAAAGAATAAAGCAGCAGAAGGAAATACACCCAGTAACCACATCGAAGGCCTCTGGACAAGGGGTTTATGGTGACAGTGGGTTTCTTCTATTTTTCTATATTTTCCACAATGTGCTTTCATTGCTCTTGTCTTTGGTTAAGAAATACTGGCCAGGCACAGTGGCTCACACCTGTAATCCCAGCACTTTGGGAGGCTGAGGTGGGTAGATCACTGGAGGTCAGGAGTTCGAGACCGGCCTGGCCAACATGGTGAAACCCCATCTCTACTAAAAATTGGCTGGGCGTGATGGCATGTGCCTATAGTCCCATCTAGCTACTTAGTAGGCTGAGGCACAAGAATCTCTTGAAGCTGGGAGGTGGAGACGAGATCACACCATTGCATTACAGCCTGGGTAACAGAGCGAGACTCTGTCTCAAAAGAAAAAAAAAAAGGTATTCTAAGTAGCATTAAAAATAATACCGCTCTTTAACTCCTTATTTGCAATTATAAAATTAAACAGGATCTGAAAACTGCAAGTGTTTTCTTAAGTTCGAGTTTGTTAGTAAAAACCTGGCCATTGTCTAGGAAGCGATCTATGGTATTTATCTGCTTTGTCTGAGGAGAAATACCAGTGTGTTTGATCGTGGGGTGCCAGCCAGACCCTACTGGGTGTTCTGCAATATATCCAGTGTCTATACACTACACTACTTTCACAAATTCACAAAAGTTCAGAATTTGGAAACTGATGTGACCCTAATGGATGGAGGGCTGTGGAGCTGGGTAACAAACACCATTGTCTACCACTGAGCTTAAAAGGAAAATATTGGCCGGTGTGGAGGCTTATGCCTGTAATCTTAGAACTTTGGGAGGCTGAGGTGGGCAGATCATTTGAAGCTAGGAGTTTGAGACCAGCCTGGCTCACATAGCAAAACCGTGTCTCTACTAAAAATACAAAAATTTAGCCAGGCATGGTAGTGCATGCCTGTAATCCCAGCTACTTGGGAGGCTGAGGCACAAGAATCCCTGGAACCTGGGAGGAAGAGGTTGCAGTGAGCCGAGATTGTGCCACTGCACTCCAGCCTGGGCAACAGAGTGAGAGCTGTCTCAAAAAAATAAATAAATAATAAATAAAAATAAGAATGAAAGGAAACATGCCTGCCATTCTGAATCACGCCTGCAACCCCAGCAACTCAGGAGGCTGAGGCAGGAGGAGTTTTGAGAACAGCCTGGACAACACAGCAAGACCCTGTCTCTAAGGAATTTTTCTTTTTTAATTAGCCAGGTGTGGTTGTGTGTGCCTGTGGTCCCAGCTACTCTGGAGGCTGAGGTGAGAGGATCATTTGAGCCCAGGATTTGAGGCTGCAGTGAGCTATGATTGTGGGACTGCACTCCAGCCTGGGTGACAGAGTGAGACCGTGTCTCCAAAAAAATGAAAATAAGAAAAGAGAAAATATCACCTAAACTGTGGAAATCATGTGTGTATCCCTCGTTACATGTGTGGTGTAATTTTGATTATAAGGAGCCGTATATAAGAGACAACCAGTGCTGGCAGAGATGGTGAGAAGGATTTGGGGATTTCAGAGCGCCCCTCCGCCCCCGGCCCCTATGGACCAGCTGTGAATCAGGTTCCCCTCCCCCTGCACCCGCCTCACCTCTTCAAAGGTGTAAGCTACAAAATGTTGCTGGTCTGGGTGTGGAAAGAGGAATTCCACCATCACTGAAGAACTGACTACGACGCCCTTGTTTAGGCAGGAGATCTTGGGCACCTTGAGGCAGTGGACAGTGACTTGGGCCTGGTTGGGGAGGCTGCCGACAAGCTGAAAGACAGGGTTCCCGTGTCCAGGACAGGGGCCCATCGTCCCTGCCTGCAGAGATGGGAAGGACAAAGCTAGCTCGGGACTCCAGGTCTGGGGAAAAGGAAGCAGCCTTGGGTAGTGCCCGGGCCCCAGGCCATGCAAATTAGGACTCTCGTTGTCTCTGGGCCTCCGTTTCTCATCTGTGTGCTAGTGAAGCTAGAACTCCTCTCTCAGGATGTGCTGAGAATGCCTTTACTTAACCTCCTGGGCCTCACTTTCCTCATCTGTAAAATGGGGATAATCATAGTTCCTGCCTCATAGGGTTGTCCTGAGGAGGAAATGAGATAACCTGTGGAAAGAGCTTAGGACAGGATGCGCTGCACGGTGACCCTCTGAGGGAAGTGGCTGTAGCTTTGATTTAATAATATCGGTGAGTACTGACTGCGCTTCAGCCCTGGGCTAGGGGTACAGATAGAGGGGAGAGCCCAGGAGCTGCAGGCTATACCGGCAGGAGCTCAGATTTAACCAGGACATCCCAGAATGGAACGCACAACTGCGGCTGGGGAGTATTTAAAGGAGAGACACACCAGGCTGTGGCACGAGGCGATCTGACCTAGTCATCAGGGAGGTGGGAGAGGTCTTTTCTGAGCGGAGGAGGAGCAGATGGGCTGGGGGAGGGCAGACCATTCTGGCAGATGGGACAGTGTAGATGACAGCCCTGTGGAAGGAGCATGGCCAACATAAGCAATGGGCAGCCAGCCAGTGCGGCTGGGGCGTGTGGACTGAGGACCTCCAATTACAACCTGTGGGACTGGGCTCAAGGAGACTACACACCCCAGAAAACCATCGAACCACTGGGTGCACAACAAATGGTTTAATTCAATGCATAGCTCAGCTCGAAAGAAAGAGGCGGCTGGGTGCGGTGGCTCACACCTATAGTCCCAGCACTTTGAGTGGCTGAGGCGGGTACATCAATTGAGGTCAGGAGTTCAAAACCAGCCTGGCCAACATGGTGAAATCCTGTCTCTACTAAAAATACAAAAAAATGATCTAGGCACAGTGGTGTACACCTGTAATCCCAGCTACTCAGGAGGCTGAGGCACGAGAATCACTTAAACCCGGGAGGTGGAGGTTGCAGTGAGCTGAGATTGCACCACTGCACTCCAGCCTGGGCAACAAGAGTGAGACTCTGTCTCAAAAGTAAATAAATAAAATGAAAGGAAAATCTCAGTGGGTAAGTATACAGATAAGACACAGCTGTAAAAAGAGTTAATGAACTTAAAAAGATAGTGGAAGAAACTATCTCGAACTTAGCATCGAGATGAAAGAGATGGAAAACATGAAAAGCGATGGAAAATGGAATGAGACGTGTATCTTGTGGAAATTCAAGGAGGTAGGAATGGAGAAAATAGTGATGCAGCAATCATGGAAGAGAGAGTGACGAAAAAATTTCCAGAGCTGATGGGCCAGGCACTGTGACCCACACCTGTAATTTCAACAGTGAGGCAGGAGAATGGCTTGAACCCAGAAGGCAGAGATTGCAGTGAGCCGAGATTGCACCAGTGCACTCCAGCCTGGGCCACAGAGCGAGACTCTGTCTCAAAAAAAAAAAAGAAAAGAAATTTCCAGAGCTTACGAAAGACATCATCAACTCTTAAACTGAACAATTACACTGGGTTCAAAACAACTAGATTGAAAGGCAGACAGGATGAGAAAGTGCAGGACCCTGGAGGCCAGGGCAGAGCATTTAGCCTGTATCCTACACCAGCTTTAAGCAGGCAGGTGATGAACAGTTTGGTTTCTTGAAGATTGTTCTGGCTGCTATGGGAAACAGATTGTAGGAGGGTGTCAGGATACAGGGAGACCCACCAGGAGCTGCAGGTGGGTCCCCACTAGAGATAATGGTAGCCTGTCCTGAGGAGGAAGTGGAGACAGAGAAGTAGAAAGACTGGAAATAGGACATTACCAGAACAGGACTCAGTCAATGGGCTGCCTGATATTGTGAGTTGCATACATGCAGAGAGAGAGACATCACAAAGCCGGGGAAAGAGGCTGGGTGGTCTGAGTTCATAAGGGAAGAGGGGCCGTCCTCTGTTAGAACAGGAGAAGGGTTGCAGGAAAGCTCAGGTGTGGGTGAGTGAGTGGGCTGGGAACAGACACGTGGGGGAGAAGTTCTGTGGGTGGCTCTGCTCAGCTCTCTGGGAAGAGGCTATGTGTGGAGAGGGAAGAGGAAGGTAGACAGGAGGGGCAGCTGGAGATTTGAGGATGGCAGGAAGGCCTGAAGAAGCCATTGCAGTGGGTGGGGGAGTGAGGTGACCAGAAAGCTGAGGGAGGCTTACTCAGAAAGCACGAGGTCCATTTGAGGAAGGAGATCATGGGTTCTTAGTGGAACCCTGCAATGAGGAGTGGGATTTTGAACATTATTGCCACTGGGCATAGCAAGAAGAGGCCGTGACCCCAGGAGCTTTGCCTGAAGTTGGCTTTGGGATCAGGAGTAATCAATAGTCACTTATTGCTGGGGCCCTCTGAACCTGGAGTTGATCCTGGGGTTCCAGCCCCCCATGAGGCCCTATGCCTGGGTAATAGAGCAGGGAATGGAGCATTATCTTTGGGGGGCAACAGAGCTGGGCTCAAACCCAGCCTTGACATTCACTGTTCCCGTGTGTAAAAAAGGGATGGTCTGAGTGCCCCACTCATAGTGAAGGTGCGAGCACTGAAGGAAGTCACACACGCAAAATGCTTCACTCCATGCCGGACACCCCAGAAGGAGCTGTGTTTGCTGCTATAAGTGTTACCATTGCTGTTGTTATTGGCTGTGGGGGAGCTCCTGAAGCCAGAGCAAGATTGGGGTATGTGAGATAAACCCCACATAGGGGTGGGGGCAGTTACCTCCTGGAAGATTTCCTGGTTGGTGTTGAAGCCCCAGGTCTCCAGCACTTCCTGCAAAGAGATGGGGAAGTTGGGGGTTGGGGGGTGTAAAGGCCACTCCTCAGAGGGAAACTTTGCAGGGACTGAGTGCAGTTTCAAGGACTGGAGCCCTCCTCAGACCCAACTCCCAACCTTCCAGACAACATGTGAGATGCTCCGGGCAGGGTGTGGGGCAGGGAACCCCCGTCCAGCTGGAGGCCTGGCTCTGCTCCCTGCTCTGCCTCACACAGGCTGCGTGACCTTGTGAAAGTCTCTTCCCCTCTGGTGGCCTCAGTTTCCTCATGAGTTCAATGACAGGCACAGCCTGGAAACTATCTAAGCACTTCTGGTATAGTACAGGTGAAGAGTCCCAGCTTCGGGCACCTCTTACAAGCTGTGTGATATTCAGTAAGTCACCTACCTTCTCTGAGCTTTGCTGTTTTTTGTTTGCAAAACCGAGGTAACAATAGTGCTCATCTCACAGGGTGAGGACAGCAAATATAACTGTGCAATAAATGTTAGACTAATAGCATCTTTTTTTCTTTTTTGAAACAAAGTTTCACTCTTGTTGCCCAGGCTGGAATGCAGTGGTGTGATCTCAGTTCACTGCAACCTCTGCCTCCTGGGTTCAAGCAATTCTCTCGCCTCAGCCTCCTGAGTAGCTGGGATTACAGGCATGTGTCACCATGCCCAGCTAATTTTGTATTTTTAGTAGAGATGGGGTTTCTCCATGTTGGTCAGGCTGCTCTCAAACTCCCGACCTCAGGTGATCGGGATCGCCTGCCTCAGCCTCCCAAAGTGCTGGGATTACAGGCATGAGCCACTGCGCCTGGCCAATATAATCTCATATTTAGCACAGTTACTACATGCAAAGCTATATCTCTACATAAATCCATCTATTGATTGCTCTATCTATCCATCTATCTATCTGGGAACACATAGTCAACCCCAAAAAACACTGGAGTTTACTATTTTTTTTGAGATGGAGTCCTACTCTGTCACCCATTCTGGTGTGCAGTGGTGACATCATAGCTCACTAGCAGCCTCAACCTCCTGGGCTCAAGTGATCCTCCCACCTTAGCCTCCTGAGTAACTGGGACTACAGGTATGCACTGCCATGCCCAGCTAATTTTTAAACTTATTTTTATTTTTGTAGAGACAGGGGTTTCCTATGTTGCCCAGGCTGGTCTCGAACTCCTGGCCTCCAGGGACCCTTCTGTGTCAGCCTCCCAAAGGGTTGGAATTACAGGCGTGATCGACTGCATCCAGTCTCGACTTTACTGCTATTGCTCCAGCTCAGACGATCCCTAGCTCTTTCATCCACCACCAAGTTTCCGAGTTTCCTCCCTCCTCTGCATGCATGTGCACACACATACCACACGCCATCTGGATTCCTTAGCAGCCCAGCCCCACCCACTCACCTTGAACTCCTCTCCCATCAGGCTGAGTGTGAGGCGGCCACTCTGGAAAGCTACCTTGGCCAGGGAGTGGAAGACTTGCTCAGAGAACCAGAAGTACAGCATGCGGGAATCCCCCAGCAGTGTGGGCGAGAAGGTGGGGAGGGGGAGGTCCTCCGAGACATTCTTGTAGATGAAATGACCCTGGAGGAAGCCAGGATGCTGGCTAGACCCCATGTCCCCCTGCTGGGCTCAGGTCCAGCTTCAGGGAGATTGGGAGGAGCCTTGGAAAGCATTCAGCCCAGAGCACAGATGGGGAAACTGAGGAAAGAGCTACACCCAGTTTCCCCCAGCGGGGCTTTCACTCATTCACCAAATATTTCCCGAGTGCTGACTGTGTCTCAACCACCGTGGGAAGTGAACCAGACAGACGTGGTTCCCACCTTCACAGGGGACATTCCCGCCTTCAAGTAACGACATTGGTCAGGACAGCTGGTGACCACGGACCTCCAGCTGCCACCCCCACCCCTGGCCGACCACTGGCCCTGCCCCTGCAGAGGGCAGTCTATTGACCGTCAGCTCCTGGAGGCCAAAACTGGGAAAACAAGCCGCTGTCCATTCCCCTGAGCCTCTAAGTCATCCAGCCCACAGGTCGGGAACAGCCTTCAGAAATGTCCGTGAACCTCCAAAATGATCCTTCTGTTCAATTTTCAGGGGAGAGGTTCTGTTACAAAGATGGCTGGTTTGCCCTATCTCTCTGTACCACTTGATTTTTAGCGAGTCTCAATATCTAGCTGGAATAAATTCCTCCGTTTCCCTTGCAGCTAGGGTGGGATCCTGTGATCAAGTTCAGGCCAATGGGATGTGAGCAGAGGGGGTGTGGTGGTCATGCCAGCCAGCTGGGACCCTGCAATGAGGCCACACCTGAGGCTGGCTGAGAACCCGGTGGAAGGAGCCTGCGTGCCTGACACCCTGGAGCCTCCAGATCCCCCCAGGCTGCAGATGCTCACGCCGTGACATGAGGGAAACAAATGTCTATCGTGTTTAAGCAGCTATGATTTTGGACTTCTTTGTTACAGCAGTAGAATGTATATCCTAAGCAATAGAGGGTCCAAAGCTTTTGTCAGTCCCCCCCGGGGGGTGGGCACTATCCACAGCTGTAGAGGGTGACAAAAGCCAAACAAGCCCTCCAGAAGGAGCTGGTGCTTTGCTGGGATCCTTGCAGTGGGAACCCTGGTGCCTACAGAGGGGGCTCGGAGGCACATCGCTGTGGCCTGCCCTCCCAGCCACATCAGGAATGGGAGGAGTGGCCCTGGATGCTTGGCTGCTGGGTTGAAGCTGGGGGACGGGGCTGTCAGAGCACGGGGAAGGACCTACTCCCCTGGGGAAGCTGGGCCCTGCCCCCACCCTCCCTCACTCCTACCTTGTGATGGGACTCCAGGTAGGAGGCTGTGATGATGGGATCACCTGTCAGGGAAATGTCCACCCCGATGTCACCATCTGAAAGGATGCTGGCTGCAGGAGGAAAAGATCAAGGTGTGGTCTCAGGATGGGGGAACTGCCCTGAGTCACCGCTCTCTTGTCCCCACACAGCTGCCCAAGCCTCAGCCTCAGTGTTCCCCTCTGTAAAGTGGGGCCTGGGTGTGTGGGGAGGGGTGCTGCACTTTTTCATTCTCTTTTCCTATGTCTGTCTGGGTAGGTAAAGCCCTTCTAGAAGGCTTGTTCAGAGCATGGGACTTGTCCAAGACAGGCTGAAACCCAGCTCTGCTCTGTACTGCAGGGGAACAGGGCAGGGCCCTGACCTCACCCAGCATCTGAATCCTCATCTCCAATGAACAGGCTGTGTAAGCACACACAAGTGCCCAGCCATGTGAGCGATCTAATTATATTTTTTCCTAATCTACTTCCAAGAGAATCTTGGAGTCCTCCTGGACTTAATCACCCGTCTGTCCTGAGTTCTACAGTCTAGAACAGGGGGCAGCAGATTTTTTCTATAAAGAACCAGATAGTAAATATTTTAGGCTTTGCAGGGTACGTGGTCTCTGTTGCAACTAGTCTGCTCTGCTGCTATAATGTCAAAGCCGCCATCGCCAATATGCATGCCAGTGGGCACAGCTCCGTTCCAGTATGATTTTATTTTCTAAAGCAGGCAGCCAAACACATTTGGTTCACTGGCTATAGTTTCCAACCCCTGGTGCAGAACCACCGTGAGAGACGTGGAGCACAGATGGGAGTGTAGGTTACCCTACCTGCCTCCTCCCCCAACCACATCCCCGTGAAACAGCCCTTCCGACCTCCCGGCGCCCTCTGAATTCTGTGGCTGCCTGGGCCAGTCCAGAAACTCCTCCCTCACTCTTCCTTCCTGTTAGTGTTGCCCACCTGCATTCCCATTGATGGCACAGCTACTGGCACGGGGATCCCAAAGAGACAGACATTCCGGGTGTATGCAGCCATGAGAGTAGAGGGAAGGGGAGGGACAGATTGGCCACTCAGGAAGACAGAACTGTGCTCAGCCCTTTGTGCCTTGGCTGGAGCCTAGAATGCCTGCCATGGGCCTGGGGCTGCCTGGAACTTCTCCTCCTAACACCCCACAGTGGCCCAGAGGACCCGCTCACCTGGAGTTCCACTGTTCCCTTGCTGCCTCTGTTTACTGAGCACCTACTGTGTGCCAGGGTATAAGGAGCAGGTGGTCTCCTCAGCCCAGCCACCTCCCTATCCACAGGTGAGGAGCATAGCAGGAGGCCTTACACACGGCACAGTAGCTGGGAGCAGGGGGAGCGGGGCAGGGGGACGGGGGGGCTTTTGGAGTTTTTGGAGGGCCAAGGTTCAAATTCTATTTCCACATCCTAGTGTGGGATGGGGTCCTCTCATCTCCAGAGACTTCTATTTCCTCCTCAGTGGAATGGGGGCTAGCAGTACATTCCTCTCGGGTAGTTGTGAGGATTCCATAGCTAATGTAAGTGTTTGGTATGTAGTAGTCCTGGGCATCTATGGGCACCTACTGTGTGTGGGGCACCATTTAGGGCATCATTCAGCAACCGATGGCTATTACTTTTTTTTTTTTTTTTTGAGATGAGTTTCACTCTTGTTGCCCAGGCTGGAGTGCAATGGCATGATCTCAGCTCACCGCAACTTCTACCTCCCAGGTTCAAGCAATTCTCCTGCCTCAGCCTCCCAAGTAGCTGGGATTACAGGCATGCACCACCACACCTGGCTAATTTTGTATTTTTAGTAGAGATGGGGTTTCTCCATGTTGGTCTGGCTGGTCTCAAACTCCCGACCTCAGGCGATCCACCTGCCTCGGCCTCACAGGCATGAGCCACCGCACGCACCCAGCCTTATTACTATTATTAGTAATAGTAATAAGGTGTCCTATTAGCACAGAACAGTGCTTCCCACTCCTCGCCACCTTCTTCTCTTGTCTGAGGTTCCTCTCAATGACCAGGGACATCCCCACTGGATAGATGATGAAACTGAGTCCTGAGTAGTTTCTTCTACACTGTGCAGCCTTGTGGGAGGTCCCCCTTAACCTGAGGCCTGATGGGAAGGGAGGGATGGGACCCAGAAGGGCAGGGAGTTCCCAATCCCCACACAGCTTCCCTCATTGTTATCTTTCATTGATGTCTTCTGCTATTTGAAATGTTGGTGACTATGCATGGTGCAGGGTATTGGGTGGTATTAATAGCAGTCATAATAATCAGGGTTCAGGATGAGCCAGGTATGAGGTACAAGGCAGCATCTTACTCATTTTCCATACATTTTTTTCCGTACTCAATTTTTACAGCCACCTTGTGGGGTAGATGCTACTATCACCCCCATTTTATCAATGAAGAAATTGAGATTCAGAGAGATTAAGTGATTTTCCCGTCACACAGCTTGTGAGGCTGCAGCCCTAAGGGGCAGAGACTTGCCAAAGCCTGCCCAGAATGAATCATCAAGTGTCAGAGCCAGACAGAGGCCATGGGAACTAGACAGGAGGAGTGACAGTCCCAAGGCAATGCAGTGCAGCAGGTGGCTTTTTGGCTCCCACTGCTGTCTTCTGAGCCATGAAGACAGAAACCCACTCACCAGCCCTTGTCTGGACAAAATCAGCCATGATGTTGGAGATGACGTTGATCTCTTTGCAGACCTGGGGCAGACAGAGCAGGTGCTTTCCAGGCAGGAAAGGATGCCAGAGGAGGGGCAGGGCAGTGGCTCCTTCCAGCTGCATGCTGGTAGCAATGCTGGGAACTAGCACAGGGGACTACCACATTGGGAAGATGGGAGTGGCTCCTTCTCAGGGAAGGGTGGGAAGGAAAGGGGTCCAGCCTCCTGGGCATGGCCCTGGACCACAGGGAGTCAGCTAGCCTCACTCACCTGTCCCTTCAGGATCAGCTTCAGGGTGTAGGAGATGAAGTTTGTGAATAGCTGCTTGATCCATCCAGGCCTGAGGGCAGCAAACACCACAGTGAGCCCCTGACCAGTCCTGTGCATCCATGGAGCACCTACTGTGTACCAGGCACTGTTCAGGGTTCTGACTCAGGTAGCTCAGGAGGTAGGAATTATCGCCCCGAGTTTGCAGCTGAGAACACTGAACCTCAGACCCAAGGATTAACCATGGCACCCTCCCAGAATCCCTCAGGAGGGCTCAGCTCCTGTGTGCTCACACCTATCATGCGCACAAGAACGTGCCTAGAGTCCAAATTCACACACGTGTCCGTCTGTGCCAGAGGCAGAAAATGGCCTGAATAGAGTGCTCCTCTCCAGACACCACCCACCAGTACCCTTCTGCCTTCCAGGTTTGGCATTGGTTATATGACCAGGGTTTCTCTCTTTATTTTATTTATTTTTATTTATTTATTTTGCATTCAAATTCAGCAGACCAGGGTCTCTCTCAACCTTGGTATCTTCCTCTGTGCAATGGGGTTACCCACAGGTCCCTGACAGAGGGTGTTGGCCAAGACAAAAAGTGCCACCCTGGGAAACAGTAGAGTAAGTATCTAGGAACTCAGCTTCTGGGGTCAGAGAATGCTGGGTTCAAATCCTGCTTTCGTACCTCAGTGGCGAGTTGCATGTCTTCAGCAAGTTACTTCGCTTGACTAGAGTTTTAGCTGTGAATTAGTGTGGTGTTTGGGTTGCAGAATGCACTCCGTAGATAAGAGATTTTCCTTCCTAACCGTTCCGTGACTCAATTTACCCACATGTAGAAAGGGGATGATAACAAAATCTATATCCTGGGGTTGGTTTTAAGGACAAAATCAATTAATTCAGGCAAAGGGCTTGGGATAGTGCTTGGCACACAGCACGTTCTTAATAGCTGTTAGTTGGCTATTGTTTTCCAGCCTTTGAGGGTGTATTGATGGGAAGGGGTAGGAGGTGACCCCACTGAAGGTATTCTTCCCCCCGGTTTGGCCACCCACAGCATGCCCTGTGTGAGGTTGAGCCTGAAGAGGTCGTGGGCATGCTAACAGGAGGGGCACAAGCAGGAATGGGGGCCACAGGGTGGTGTACTTACTCTCGCTCTCCTTGGAGATGCAGGAGGAGCTTATGGAAAGACAGGTGGCAGTCGGGGGCATTGGTCCGCACTCTACCAGAGTCGCAGGCTGCAGGGAAACCCAACACAACCTCAGGGCAGCCTCTGCTATTGGGTGGTAGCCACATGCTGCCCAGGTCAGCCAAGAGCTTGGTCAGCTCTGGGCCCCCCAACTCTGCAAACTCCCCAGGCTGGGACTCCTTTGGTGGCCCCAGAACCACCCTCTGCCTGCACAACCTCCCCGCTCTGCTGAGGCCAAGCCCTAGAGTCTGGCTCCACTTCCCCAGAGGACGCTGGACACATACTCAGTTGTGTGTTGATCTGGAGGTCAATGGCGGAGTCGATCTCAAAGTCAATGGACTGATCAATGCCCAACCTGCAAAGAGCCAAGGACCCAGGACCCTCATTCTGCCCTCCAGCCCAGAGCGGGCCAGGGCATGGTGCATCAGCTGATGGGAATGCTCACCCCCAGGCAGCAGTGTAGCCATATTTCAGGGTCCCATTGAAGACCACAGACACATTCTGAATGGAGACATCAACGGACTTGGCTTCCACCAGCTCCACCTGGCTGCTGGCAATGGACAAATGGCTGATCTGGATGCTGGGAAGGAACAGGAGTGAGGAAGGACGTCAGGGGTCATCCAGTGAGCCCAAGGAGTGAGCCACCAATTTTGCCTAGGCGAGGGTGGAAGATAGAATCATAGTCTCCAGAATGTCTGCCTCCTAATCCACAGAACCTGCAAATATGTTACCCAATGCTCAGATGATGGGTACCCACTTGACTCGTGTTACCCATATGCAAATATGATTACATTAAGGACCCTGGGGCAGGTGGGGAGATGATCCTGGATTATCTGGGTGGTCCCAGTGTAATCACAGGGTGCTGAAAAGTGGAAGAGGAGGCAGAAGAGGAGAGGTGGGGAGAGGTGACCAGGGAAGAATGCCCAGAGAGAGGCAACCCTGCTGGGCTAAAGATGGGGGAACCGTGCTCATGGGGACATTTAGATCTAGAAATGCCTATCTTTAAAAGAGAAAGATCTCAATTTAATATCCAACTTTCCACCTTAAGAAACTTGAAAAATAAGGGCAAACTAAGCCCAAAGCTAGCAGAAGGAAGGAAGTAATCAGTGGCTGCGAATGAAATAAAGAATAGAAAAACAACAACCATCGGTGAAAACGATAGCGGATGTTTCCAAAAGATCAACAAAATCAACAAACCTTTAGCTAGACTGTAAGAAAAAAAAGACTCAAATGACCAAAAACAGAAATAAAAGTGAGGTAATTTATTACCAATCTTACAGAAATAAAAGGAATTATGAGAGAATACTATGAACAATTGTATGTCAACAAGTGAGATAAATTAGATGAAATGAAATGGACACATTCTTAGAAATGCAAATGGTATGTGGAGAAGAGTGAAAATTGATTCCGAAGAGTATGGACACACCATCAGAAGTGAAGTTAGATAGAAAATAGATTGGCAGCTGGCGAGGCGGCTCTCGCCTGTAATCCGAGAACTTCGGGAGGCCGAGGTGGGCAGATCACCTGAGATCAGGAATTCATGACCAGCCTCGCCAACATGGTGAGATCTCGTCTCCACAAAAATACAAAGAAATTAACCGGGTATGATGGCAGGTGCCTGTAGGCCCAGCTACTAGGGAGGCTGAGACAGAAGAATTGCTTGAACCTGGGAGGCAGAGGTTGCAGTGAGCTGAGATTGCGCCATTGCACTCCAGCCTAGGCCACAGAGGAGACTCTTGACAAAACATTGCATGTCTATATCAAAACATCTCATGTACCCCATAAATATATATGCCTACTATGTACCCACAAAAATTAAAAATAAAAAAATTTAAAAATAGATTGGCAAAGACTTATACTGTAGGAAACAACTAGATTGTTCTGGATTCTTCCTTCTTTGTTTTTATTCTTTCTTTTCTTTTCTTTTGAGACATAGTCTCGCTATGTTGCCAGGCTGGAGTGCAGTGCCGCGATCTCGGCTCACTGCAACTTCTGCCTCCCGGGTTCAAGCAATTATCCTGCCTCAGCCTTCCGTGTAGCGGGGACTACAGGCACGCTCCACCACGCCCAGCTAACCTTTGTGTTTTTTAGTAGAGCTGGGGTTTCACCATGTTGGCCAGGATGGTCTGGATCTCTTGACCTCGTGATCCACCCGCCTTACCCTCCCAAAGTGTTGGGATTACAGGCGTGAGCCTCCGCGCCCAGCCCTTTTCTCTCCTTTATTCTTTTTGTTTTCCCATGGTGCTTCTCTGTTGCCCAGGCTGGTGCAGTTGTGTAATCGTAGCTCACTGTGGCCTCAAACTCCAACAATCCTCCTGCCTCTGCCTCCGAAATAGCTGGGCCCACAGGCATGCACGAAGCACACCTGGCTCATCTTTGTATTTTTTTGTGTAGATAGGGGACTCACTATGTTGACCATACTCCACATTCTTCTAAATGCTCTAATCTGGAATTAGATCATACTACAGTCTCCAATCTTCTTTCAGTTCTACAGGAATTTAAACCTCCTGTACATTTGTTTTTGTTTTTGTTTTGAGATGGGGTCTGGCTCTGTTGCTCAGGCTGGAGTGCAGTGGTGTGATCTTGGCTCACTGCAACCTCTGTCTCTTGGGATCAAGCAATTCTCCTGCCTTAGCCTCCCCATTAGCTGGGACTACAGGCGCCCACCACCACACCTGGCTAATTTTTGTATTTTTAGTAAAATTAGGGTTTCACCATGTTGCCAGGCTGGTCTTGAACTCCTGACCTCAGGTGATTCTCCCACCTCAGCCTCCCAAACTCCCAAAGTGGTGGGATTACAGAATTGAGCCACCATGCCAGCTTTTCTTTCTTTCTCTTCTTTCTTTTTTTTCTTGAGACTGAGTTTTGCTATTGTCACCCAGGCTGGAGTGCAGTGGGCAATCTCAGCTCACTGCAATCTCCGCCTCCTGGGTTCAAGTGATTCTCCTGCCTCAGCCTGCTGAGTAGCTGGGATTACAGGCAAGCACCACCACACCTGGCTAATTTTGCATTTTTAGTAGAGACAGGGTTTCACCATATTGGCCAGGCTGGTCTTGAACGCCTGACCTCAGCTGCTCTGCCCAACTCAGCCTCCCAAAGTCCTAGGATTACAGGCATGAGCTGCCACTCTCGGATGCATACCAAATTTTTGAGTGGCATCTCTTCTGGCAATAGCTGTGTAAGCTCCTAACACACGAACCTCCTTTGACGACTAAATTCTTGACCTCTGCACAAAATTAGACAGTAGAGAGTAAGGGAAAACAGTCAGATTGGGCCTGGCGAGGTGGCTCACGCCTGTAATCCCAGCACCCTGGCCAGCATAGTGAAATCCCATCTCTACTAAAAATGCAAAAAAAAAATTGGCCAGGCGTGGTAACACATGCCTGTGGTCCCAGCTGATCGGGAGGCTAAGGCAGGAGAATTGCTTGAACCTGGGAGGTAGAGATTGCAGTGAGCTGACATCATGCCATTGTACTCCAGCCTGGGCAACAAGAGCAAAACTTAATCTTGAAAAACAAAGAAAAAGCGGTCAGGCTGCAGGACAGATGCGGGTGGAGGAGGAGAACAGCACCCGGTGTGTTTCCCCATTTTCACAGATTCTAGCATGAGGGTGGGCTGCAGCATGCACTGTGAGAAAGGACAGTGGGAAGAGACACTTTCAAGGCCTCGAACTCTGGTAGATCAAAATTTTTCTGGCCTAAAGAGCCAGAGGACAGGATTTGGAACAATCACAGCTGCTGAAAAGTGGAGGGGAATACCATAAATGAGAAAGTCAGAGCAGGGAGCTCCCCTCAACACCTGAAACAAAAGGAGATGGAGGAGGCATAGGGGAGGCCTCTAGAAGCTGGAGAAGGCAAGGGAATTAATTCTCCCCTAGAGCCCCCAGAGGAATCTGGTTCTACTGACATCTTGACCTTAGCTCAGGGAGAGCCATGGTGGACTTTTAGCCTTCTTAACTGTAAAATTATAAACTTGTGTCATTTTAAGCCACTAAACTTGGAGTGATTTTTTTTTTTTTTAATAGCAGAAAATAGGAAACTGATACAGAGGGTTTCCTGGAGGATGTGTCATCAGGTGGAGGGTGGGAGTTTGGAAGATAGCAGGAGGCTCCTCACTGGGAGGAGGCCTGAGCTAGGCCCAGGGCAGAGGTGGAGCTGAACAACTGCAGGAATGTTGGGCCTGGGGTCTTGGTGCAGGCACAGCAGAAGAGCTGTGCGGCCAGGGGCTTGGTCAGAGGTGGAGCTCAGCGAGGATCCTTGGAAAGCAAGGGTCAGAGAGGAGAAACCGGAGGCCGGGAGGCCAGCGGGCCACATTCACTCTCATGCCGTCTACCCTTGCTGAACTCTCCCCGGGCCCAGCTTCAGCATATGGAATGTGACACAATAGAAGCAGCCATCGCACACCAAACACACACTGTGTGGCAGGCACCGTGCTGAGAGTTTAAACACATGTCCTGGTTTACTCCTCACAGCTACCCAGGAGGTGCTCACTATTGCTGTACCCACTGAACTGAGACAGAAATGGCTCAGACAGCTTACGTGGCTTCAAAAACCCTCAGTAGAAGGGGATTTGATCCTGGGTCCGTCCCACTCCAGATCCTGTATTATAAGCCACTATGACACACTGCCCAACAAGGAGAATCTGTGTATATCTGGCTTTCCCCATCTGTTCTGTTATATTCTATTCTATTCCCATTAGAGAGAATAGTGTGAAGAATTCTCATTTTACCATGAACCAGCTTCATCTAATGTTCATCATGGCCAATTTTATTTTATTTCTACCCCACCCATATATGTTTTGGGATAACAGTTTTACATATACATATATATACACACACACACACACACACACACACACACACATATATAGTGTGTGTGCAATATTTATTTCAAATGCTTGTTAAAACAGCATAGTTATTTCTCAGGACAAGAGCAAAGATCCCCCCCACAGAGGCTGAGGAACTTCGTACAAAACTTTACAGAACAGAGGCGGAACTTTAGCGTAAGCCTGTCTGCTGACCAGAGAATTCTGTATAATTCTCTTTTATACTCAGAAAAAAGTATAAATTAAAAAAATAAATAAATAAATAAATTTAAAAAAAAAAGAGGAATTCTGTGTGGACTCAAGAAAGAAAAGGAAAGAAGGCAGGAAAGGGAAAAGGGAAGTGCCCATCTGAATCAAACTTCAGCTGCCATCAGGGCACATCTTGTGGTGATCACAGACTGTAGGCTGTTTTTGGAAGGTTTGGGTTCAGCATAGGATTCCATTTGTCTACTTGGCTACACTCCTGGTGAGGGTTAGGGTTAGGGTCAATGTCACTCAAGTTCCTGGCCAGCCAAACTTCGGCAGTAAAGAGTCCCAAATTGAGGATCAAATTCCTCCAGAAGTCATTCCTGTCAATGGCAAAGCGATAGACCCCCCCCAAAGCCAGTCTCCCACATTGTCTGGTATTTCAGGAGTTGCGTTAGCCCAGCCAGCAGTGCTCACTGGGACCCTGCTGGAAGCCATAGTAAGAAGCTTCCAAGGGGCCTTGCCTGGGATAACAGTCAAGTATGAATGACTATGACATCTAGTCTATGGCAGTCTGGTCTAACTGAATTATTGCTGATTTATTAAGGATGATATCTCTTTAACTTCTGAAGATGCTTTTGCCTCATCTGACCTCTTGCAGCATAGGTCTAGGATAACATTATCCTCTTATTTTTTAGTAACAGAGTCTTGCTCTGTTACCAGGCTGGAGTGCAGTGGCGTAATCATAGCTCACTGCAGCCTTGACCTCCCAGGCTCAAATGATCTTCCTACCTTGACCTCCTGAGTAGCTGGGACTGCAGGCAAACACCACCATGCCCAACTAATTTTTAAATTTTTTGTAGAGACAGGCTGATCTTGAACCCTGGCTCAAGTAATCCTCCTGCCTCAGCCTCCCAAAGTGCTGGGATCACAGGTGCGAGCCACTGAACCTCGCCCAGTATCCTCTTTTACAAAAGCGTAATCTGAAGCCCAAGGTCGCACAGAGGGCGTGGCTGGGACTCCTCCACAGCACCCCCTAGCGGCAGGAGTTTTCCTGCAAAAGGTGAAGCGGCAGCCCAGCACCGCCGGCGCCCCCTGGTGGCTCAAAAACAATTACCGAGATTCCAGGCCCAGTGTGCTTGGGTAGCAGAGACCACTCCTGGGGAGCCTGTTTAGCAGGACTGGGGAGGAGGAGAAGGAGATTGGCTTTAAGACAAAGGTAAAGTCCCTGAACAATGTCTGCCTCACCCTTGGGGTCTCAGACTGACACACAGACAGAGACCCAGGCTCCAGGGCAGCCTGAGGTTCCAGGATGGTGGCCAAGTTCCCGAGACTGAGCTGAGTTTGCACGTGAGCTCCACCAGCCTGGGAAACCTCTATCAGCTCCTGTTTCCTTATTTGTTAAGCCGGGCCATCCGGAAGATGGCATTATCTTCTTTTACAGATGAGGATAAAATATATGATAAAGGTTAAGATAGGCTGGGTGCAGTGGCTCACGCCTGTAATCCCGCATTTTGGGAGGGTGAGGTGGGCAGATCACTTGAGGTCAGGAGTCCAAGACCAGCCTGGCCAACATGACGAAACCCGTCTCTACTAAAATTTAGCTGGACTTGGTGGCGGGCGCCTGTAATCCTAGCTACTAGGGAGGCTGAGGCAGGAGAATGGCTTGAACCTGGAGGCGGAGGTTGCAGTGAGCTGAGATGGCACCAGTGCACTCCAGCCTCGTTGACAGAGAAAGACTCGAGCTCAATAAATAAATAAATAAAATAAAGATTAAGATAGATAAAGGGCTGAACAAGGTGACTCATGTCTGTAATCTCAGCATTTCAGGAGATGGAAGCGGGCAGATCACTTGAGATCAGGAGTTTGAGACCAGCCTAGCCAACATGGTGAAACCCCCATCTCTACTAAAAGTACAGAAATTAGCTGGGTGTGATGGTGCGTGCCTGTAATTCCAGCTACTCTGGAGACTGAGGCACAAGAATTGCTTGAACCCAGAGACAAAGGTTGCAATGAGCTGAGATTGTGCCACTGCACTCCAGCCTAAATGAGAGAGAGAGAGACGCTGTCTCAAAACATTTAAAAAAAGAAAGAAGAAAGAGAGAGAGAGAAAAAGTATATGATAAAGATGAAGACAAAATGAGATATTGTTTGGAAAAGCACCTAGCCCACAACTGGCCCTCTGCTGTTACCATCATCCCAAATAATGTTAAGATACTGATTTTAGGCTGAGGTGGGAGGATTGCTTGAGGCCAAGGTTCAAGACCAACCTGGCCAACAGAGGCCCCTGTCTGTATTATAAGAAAACAACATTTATAAACTGTTTTTTTAAAAAGATACTCATTTTGCTGAGATCTCTCTACCCTATCCTCCATTCAGCCCCCAATAAGATCTTCATCTTCCCAGGGCAATGGGAAAGGACCCTTTGAAGCCTGACTCTTAGAAGGGCTATTGGAGAGTTTGATACACTCACTAAGTCCCCCCAGGACACCAGGGGATGGAGGATGGGGATAGGGGAGGTAGTCAGGCTCCGGTTCCAAGTCCAGGGGAGAGACCTGAGTCCCTGCCTCCCCCAGCCCTTCCTCCCTGTGGGTTGGGGGCAAGCCCCAGGCTGTTCTTCCCGCCTCCCTACCCCCAGTCTGGTGACACCCGAGGCCCAACTCACTTGTACAACCCATACTTCACTCGGCCAAGGAGCATCATGGCCTTCTCACCCGTGATATTTGGGTAGTTGACTCGCTGGAAGGCAGTCTGGATCACCTTGGCAGTCTCCTGGTTCACTAGAGGGGAGGGCAGTGGCTGAGGGGCTGCAGGCCCATGCCAAGCCCCCCACTCCCACCCACAACCAGTCTTGGCCATGACTCAGTCTCTCTGGGACTAGGCTCCCCAGCAGGTCTTAAAGCTGAGGGGTGGACTGGGCTTCCCTCTCAGTGTATGGTCGATGGCAATTCTTAGGGGACACAGAGAGGTTTGATCCTGACCCCAGCCAGAGATCCTGATCATACCCTAGCCTGTGGATCCTGACACCTGGGAACCCCATGATCCTAGTCAAATGACAGCCCTGAGCCCAGCCACACACTCACCGTAGCTCACCCAGACAATGCTGTGACACTCCCTGTAGTCCTGGGGGTCTATAATCCTGGCATTTGAACTTGGCGATGTTCTCTTTTAGAATTCTATCATTTAGCATCCCTATACCTTTATTGTATTCAGCAAGAGGCTGAGGCCCAGAGAGGGCAGGGGAGCTGGCTAAAGTAACACAGTAGTCAGCGATGCAGCCTCCATCACCTGAGCTCCCGGCAGCACCTGACTCTGGCCACAGAGTGACCCCCAACACCAAATATACACCAAACTTCTTATCTTCATTCCCTGACTCAACCCCCTAACCTGGCTCAGATCTGAACCTTAACTTGAACCCCAATGACTCTGGGTCTCAGACAAGCACAAATTCCTACACCTGGCTATTTGCAGCCCAGCTAGGACCTTCTCACCAAAGAACTTGACCTTGAAGTGAGGTCAGGGGAGGGTGAGGACAGCTCCACTCAGCCCATCTTCCTCCCAGGACACTCCTTTCTCTGGGCTACTGTGGTAGCCAGCTTCAGAGCTGGCTCCAGGCCAGGGAGGCTGCTGGCATAGTGGGTGTCCGTGATCTGCCTGCCAGGGCAGACAGATGCATGGACAGAGAGGAGGGCACTGGTACTTACACACCAAGAGGGCGGGCTTGGAGATGCGGCACACGATGCCTGCCTCACACGAGGTGCCTTTGGAGCAGGCGTGGGCATTGCCCAGCAGGGCCAGGGTCAAGACGGTGGCAGCCAGCATGGTTATTGGGCATCCGTGTGCGAGTGGCCCGAGCCGTTCAGCCTGGAGCCTGTATATGTACGTCCACCCAACCCCCACGGAACATGAGGCTTTTCCGGGCAGTGGGGTCTTCCTGGCCCCAGAGATTCACCTCCTTCCTGCCCAGCCTCTCTGGCCTCCTCTTGAGTTCAGAGCCAGACATTCAACAAGAGCATCCCAACCTCTGCTTGTCTCCCCTCCACCATTTGCACCACTTTTGCCATCCCTTACGTTTTCTGGATAATTGTTTAATATGTTTCCATGAATTCATTTGTTTTATACTTAAATAAATGTATCTAAGAATAAACTTCCTCTCTCAGTTGCCATAAATAGAAAGAGGCCAAAATACAATGACCATGAAAAAAAGACATCAAACTCTTGCCAGATACAGTTGCCCGACAATGACCCCAAGCTTGAAGCCTGCTGCTGCATGTAAAGTAAAACTCAGTACAAAAAGGGAAAGGGTTTCATGGGTGTTAGAGAGACTCTAGCACTCACCTTTCCCTTGCTCTGATTTGAAAGCTTGAAAGGATAACGTCCTCCCTGTAGTATTCTATAGTATTTGACACTGCATATGGGTACCCCAGAAAGAGTCCTCTATGTAGCCTTTCTTTGATATGCATAAAATAACTCTGGGTGGGTACACAGCCCCTGAGATCATTGGCTGCCTCTGGGAGGAACTGGGTATCTGGGGAAAGAGGCAGGGGATGTCTACGACTTTTGAAGTCTGAGTCATGTGAATGTGTCATCTTTCAAAAAATTACAACGTACAGTACTTTACCTACAGCTGGGGCCAAGCACTCCCCTGTAGCAACCGTGACCAGATGGCCAACTGCTGCCTTCTCAGAGCCCCTGGGAAGGAGCCAGGGCTGCAGGGATGTGGGCAGGATGCTGTGCCCCGGGCAGGGCCAAGGAAACATAAGTTGGGGTGGGCTTGCTCAGTGCCTCTCAGGGGGCACAGTCCTGAGTTTGCACCTGCTCTAAGCCCAAAGCTGCCCACAACCACAGATGGAGCCGGGCTAACCCTCACCATTTCCCAAGGCTCAGAGACATAAGCTGATTGCTCTTGGGCACCAATCCTTGGGTTCGTATCTACAGGCCTCTGGAGCACCCTCACTGAGTGAGCATGTGCCATCGGCCCTGTCAGGGTAGGGACTAGAGGTGAGCCCCTTGGCCCAGGCCTCCCCAGCACCCCGTCTTCTGCTCGAGCTGGAGGAACTTCATTAATGGGCTCTATTTTTCCAGAAACATGAGGACTTCCTGGAGGCTATTGTTTTCCTGGCTGTTTCTGTTCCCTTCCTGGGGCCGCGGAGGGCAATAACCGAAGGTGCCCCTGGCCAGGGTACTGGCGGTCAGTGGGTGGGCCTGGGGAGGAGAGGAAGGTGGGCCCCATCCTCTAGTGCAGCCTGGGGGCTGGGGCCCTCCTAAGGGTGGGAGACCCTTGGGATAACGAATTTGAAAAAACAAATACAACTAAAGCAAAAACAAAAAAGAGCGTATCCCTTTAAACTTAGAATCCTGCATCTTAGACCCTTAAAACTTAGTAAGAATTATACTAATATCAGCTATATTTTCGAGATAATGCTTTGCTACATTATCTCCTTTAATCCTTTTTTATTTTTTATCATTTTTTGTCATAGTAGAATTTAACTGACTACTTAATGAAAACTTACCACTTCAACCATTTTAAAGTGTTCAATTCAGTGGCACTTCATACATTCACAATGTTATGCAGCCAGAAATTTAATTCCAGCACATTCTCTTCACCCCAAAATAAAACCAGCCTGGACAACAGAGTTAGCCCCTGTCTCAACTAAATAAATCAATATATAAATAAAAATAAATGGGAAACACAAGACAAATCTTCCATGCAGAAGAATCCCAAATGAATTCGGGAGATTCAATGCCGATCCTGGCCCCAGCTGTAGGTAAAGTAATGCATGTTACAATTTTTTCAAAGATAACACATTCACATGATTCAGAAGTCAAAAGCCACAGATGTCCCCTGCCCCTTCCCCCAGATACCCAGTTTCTCCCAGAGGCAGTCCCTCCCCATCCTGCCCTCTCCCAGCCCTTGGCAGCCACAAATGTGCTTTCTGTCTCCATGGATTTGCCCACTCTGAACATTTCATGTAAATAGAGTCAAACAGTATGTGGTCTCTTTTGTTCCTCCCTCCTTCCTTCCCTTTCTTTTCTTTTCTTTCTTTCTTTTGTTCATTCTTTCTTTCTTTTCTTTTCTTTTTTTTGGACAGAGTCTCACTCTGTTGCCCAGGCTGTAGTACAGGGGCATGATCTTGGCTCCCTGCAACCTCCATCTCCCGGGTTCCAGCGACTCTCCTGCCTCAGCCTCCTAGGTAGCTGGGATTACAGGCACCTACCACCATGTCCAGCTAATTTTTGCATTTTTTAGTAGAGACAGGGTTTTACCATGTTGGCCAGGCTGGTCTCAAACTCCTGACCTCAAGTGATCCACCCACCTTGGCTTCTCAGAGTGCTGGGATCACAGGCGTGAGCCACTGCACCCAGCCTATGTCCCTTAGAGGAGTATCTTCGAGGTTTGTCAGTATGGTAGGCTGTGTCCGTACTTTATTCCCTTAAATGCCTTTACCCCGTTGTAATGGCCCCTTCACCCATCGGTGAGCATCTGGGTTGTCTGGTATCTCATTCCCTCTTCATAGCCACCCCCTGGGATGCCTTGATTGTCCCTGCTTTATAGGTCAAACAGTGAGGCAGAGAGAAGCTAAGCTACAAGCTCCAGGTCACACAGGGACAGAAAGCCAGGATTTGAGCTCAGGAAGTTGGGCTTGGTGCTGGTCCCAGCATCTGAGAATACTGGAGTCAGAGGACAAGGGACTTGGGGGCATGGAAGCTCGCTCTCTCTCTCTCTCTCTCTCTCTCTCTCTCTCTCTCTCTCTCTCTCACAGGGGAGACATGGCTCCTGGGGAAGGGGTTCCCTGGGGCAGGGAGGGGCCAGGATAACCTGCAACCCCTCCCACCTCTGTAATCATAACCTATGAAACCCTGTCGTGGAGGAGAATGCAAGCCCCAGGTGAATTTTGAAGCAGATTTTACTTTTTAGAAGCATTTTAGATTTTCAGAGAAACTGAGCAAGGTTCCCATATACAACACATACTCAGTTTCTATTACTATTATTATTGAGACAGGGCATCACTCTGTTGCTCAGGCTGCAGTGCAGTGGCATGATTTTGGCTCCCTGCAGCCTCAGCCCTCCCAGCTCAAGCGATCCTCCTGTCTCAGTCTTCTGAGTAGCTGGGGCTACAGGCATGCACCGCCACACCTGGCTAATTTAAAAAAATTTTTTTGTGGAGATGGAGGTCTCACTATGTTACCCAGGCTGGTCTCAAAGTCCTGAGCTCAAGAGATCCTTCCACCTTAGCCTCCCAAAGTGCTGGAATTACAGGTGTGAGCCACCACGCCTGGCCTGATTTTTCTTACACGGGGCTTACAAGCTATTGGGAAAACAGTCGCGGAGGTAAAGTCCCATTTTATCCCATCATATCCAGGATGCCCACTATCAACATAATTCACGACAGCTGATGTGATCTCCATCACCTGTCTGTGGTCGTATTCGCCAGATTTCTCCACTGTGAAGTTAGCTCTCCCGCTCCAGCTTCCTGCACTGTACTCTTTGGAAGGAGCTCACTAAGGCAGCCTGGAGTTACTTGTGCCCTCCTGTAGGGTAGAGAATTCACAGAATTCATTTGGGATTCTTCTGCATGGACGATCTGTCTCTCCTTTCCCATTTATTTTTATTAATATATTGACATTTATTTTGAGACAGGGTCTCACTCTGTTGCCCAGGCTGGAGTGCAGTGGCAAGATCACAGCTCACTGCAGCCTCCATCTCCCAGGCTCAAGCAATCCTCCCACCCCAGCCTCCCACGTAGCTGGGACTACAGGCATGCTCCAACATACCCAGCTAATTTTTGTATTTTTGGTAAACACAGGGTTTCATCGCATTGCCTAAGCTGGTCTCAAACTCCTGGGCTCAAGTGATCTGCCTGCCTTGACCTCTCAAAGTGCTCTCCCATTTATTAATATAAATGTATTCAATCATCTATGTCAGAATAGACTCATAGGCACTCATTTTATACTTTGGGTTATAGTCTGATGCTACCTTATTTATTTTGTTGTTCAAGTTGCTCCATCTTTGGCCACTGAAGGCTCTTTCAGTTGGCTCCTGTGTCCCTTTGACATACCTCCATCAAAGTGGGCTTCCCCCTTTTTTGGGTCCCATGTAAAAACACAAGCTTCTCAGTACATTTCCACCTTGCTGTGACAACCCAAACTGGGGCCCGGACTGGGAGAAGGCAAGTGCCTCACAAAATTTAAGGGATGCCAGAAAAACTCAGTAGTCACCATTTAAAAATCAAAATTATGGGCTGGGTATGGTGACTCATTATAATCGCAGCTCTTTGGGACACCAAGGTGGGTGGATCATTTGAGGCCAGGAATTTGAGACTAGCCCCCAACATGGCAAAACCCTGTCTCTACTAAAAATACAAAAGTTAGGCTGGCATGATGGCACACACCTGTAATTCCAGCTACTTGGGAGGCTGAGGCATGAGAATCACTTGAACCGGGGAGGCGGAGGTTGCAATGAGCTGAGATCATGCCACTACACTCCAAACTGAACAACAGAGCGAGACTCTTTCTCAAAAAGAAAAATCAAAATTATGGACTTAAATGAATATTTGCATACCCATGTTCATAGCAGCATTATTCACAGTAGCCAAAAGGTGGAAGCAACCCATGCCCCATCAATGACGAGTAGATAAACAACATGTAATATATCCACATGACGGAATATTATTCATCCTTTAAAAGGAAGGAAATTCTGACACACACTACAGTGAGGATGAACCTTGAGGACATTATGCTAAGTAAGGTGAACCAGTTACAAAAAGACAAATACTGTATGATTCCACTTATATGAGGTGTCCAGAGCAGTCATATTTAAGAGCCAGAAAGTAGAATGGGCAGAGTACAGTGGCTCAGACCTGTAATAATGCTTCGGGAGGCTGAGATGGGAGGATCCCTTGAGCCCAGGAGTCTGAGGCCACAGTAAGCTGTGATTGCATTACTGCACTCCAGCATGGGCGACAGAGCGACACTGTCACTAATAATAATAATACTAATAGAATGGAGGTCACCAGATGCTAGAGGA